ATCTGTTACCACTTTACAATTAGAATAGCCATGATTCGTCACATGTCACAGTAAATATCAAATACAAACTTTTACTCCAGAAGATGGGTTTATCTATTTTTGGTACTCGAATACATACGATGCTTTGGCCTTAGCATACTTTGAAATTCAATAGTCTTTTGTCCTCTACAAGTCTATCGAAAGTGCCTGATTTAGTCAAGATATGCGTAACTTTTTCAGTCCCATTAGAGTATACACGCTTGTTTATTAATAGCATTATACCATGAGATATTATTCGAAAAACAAAAGGTTAGAAGTTCGCCAAACGTGTCGTCAGTTCATTTTATCAATTCGAGTTGGGCGTTGGCGTGGTTGTGTAGTTATCACTCTACAAACACTTGTAATAAATCGTTCATAAAACGCATCCAGATGTTTCCTTACCCTCTATCACGACCAGGACAACAACAATCTAGTGGAATACATACAATACAATCTACTGGACCACAGTCGCAACATAACTAAACACATATCATAGAAAAACGAAGTGAACGAATTCATACATCAATTTGTAGTTTCTTACCGGTAAACACATTTTGTAAGTACGAAACGATTAAATGAGTGTACTACTTAAACCATCTCTGTAGCGTAATATCTATATCAACGCCTAAATTTTGTTGTCATTCATTCATTCGCGCTTTGTATACTGCATATGTGTATAAATCTTTTGTATCAAATAAACCTTGACAAGGTGAAGAACGATAATGCGCGTGATCATGTTTATACATACGCAGAGATCGAAATCGAAAGAAAACCACGCGGTTCGCACATGTACATACTGTAAACAAAAGATAACTCAAAGTATTTTCTATTTGAGCATACATTATAAACTATCGTTTTGAATATTCTAACTTTTTCTTGCCAACAACATCATACAGAATCATCTCGGATACAATTAACACTGATGAAGGAGAAAATAAGTTTCGATCAGCAAGCAGAATGGTATAGAAATGGACTTCAACGACCATTACTGCCACATACAGATGCGTTCAAACAACGTAACATTTATATTATGTAAGTTGGGTCAGAGCATGAACATTTTCTTCTGCATGTTTTTTTTTTCATTAAGGGGACCACCTGGTAGTGGTAAAACAAGTATTGGACGGGAGCTAGCCCGACTGATGAAGAAGCCTCTTCTTGATATTGACGACGATTGGCTTGAGCCCCGGTGGAACACGAGTGTTGCATCGAAATTGTCTGAGCTTGGTGACGAACAGTTCCTTGAAGCAGAAGGTCAAGAATTGTTAGCCTTAGATCTTCAAAATCATATTATATCCCTAACTGGCTCGAATCCCTTGCATAGTCAATGTATGAAACATCTTTCCCAATCCGGTATCTTCGTTTATCTCGACGTTTCTCGGGAGACAATTTTGAATCGTTGTGAAATCATGCGTATTGATCGTATTGTTGGACAGCGAACAAAAACATTGAATGATATACTTACTTGGCGTGAGCATATTTATGAAAGATCCTATGATATTCGGATTCTTATTGGTTTGAATGAAACGTCAAAGGATATAGCAGAGAAAATCGTCAAACAATTAGACACACAGTCTCAAATGTATGAGAGCACTCGAAGTGCTTCGCAAATGAAATATCAACAGTTTCTCGATGTTGTTCAACAAGGACTTGCACCAGATGGTGGTCTTTTCAGTAAGAATTCCTTTGAAGGAAGAGAAACCATATGCTCTATGTGATGATTTGTAGTTTCTCGTTCATTTAACTCAATGTCGCTTGGTGAATTACAACGTTTAGTTGGTCTACCTTATCCTGAAGTGGCACTACGTGTAATAGAACGATTTCCTCTCGGTACTCTTCATCCGTCTCATTTACGTACTCTACTATGGCAAGCTTATTCGTCATTTCCAGAGGAAATTCTACCTGTTCATCATCTACGGAAAAATCAATATTTAATGGAAACGTTCCACGGGCCGACAGCATCATTTAAGGATTTAAGTCTACAATTATTACCTCGTTTAATGCAAGTTGCAACCGAATTAACATCGAAGAATGAACAAAAACGAACACGTTTAAGTCTACTGGTTGCTACATCTGGAGATACAGGTTGTGCAGCACTTGATGCTTTCGCTCGACTACCCGGTACACCTGTGATTGTTCTGTATCCAAATACCGGTGTTTCGACGGTACAAAAGGCACAAATGCAAACTGCAACCGGTGATGTTTGCGTTTTAGGCGTTGACGCTGATTTTGACTATTGGTAAGTACTTTTTCATTTCACTTATATCTCATCGAGAACATTGGCATTTAGTCAAACGACTGTGAAGGAACTTTTCAGCGATGGAAACTTTCTCTCGGATGTGCATCGATTGATTCCCGGTCTCCATCTCTCATCAGCAAATAGTATCAATTGGGCGCGATTCTTACCCCAAGTTGTATTTACAATAAATTCTTATTTACAACTTGTGGGACAGAATAGAATCAATTTCGGTGATTCTATTGACATTTGCATTCCGACAGGAAATTTTGGCAATATGCTTGGTGCTGTCTATGCTCGAAGATTAGGTTTACCTATTCGACATCTGATTACCGCATCGAATGAAAATAATGTTATTGCTGATTTCATTCGAACTGGTTCCTATGATCTTCGTCATCGTTCATTTCAGAAAACTATTAGTCCAAGTATTGATATCCTGATTAGTTCGAATCTCGAACGTTTTCTTTATCTATTAACCGATGGAAACTATGAATTGATTCAACAACTGTTCAATAAACTTGCACATGAACGCAATTTTCAAGTGGATGGAAGCCTTCTTCAACAAATCCAGTCGGAAATTCGAGGTGACTGGACAACGGAGAAGGAATGCCGAGATATGATCAGAAAAGTTTACTTAGAAACACAACAACTCATCGATCCACACACAGCGGTCGGTGTACATGTTGCAGACAAATTGTTCAAAAGTGACGACGTGCCGATACTTATTTCAGCAACTGCTCACTATGGAAAATTTCCACAAACTATACTGCAAGCGGTTGGTAACGATGATCAACCATTACTATCCAATGATATATCAGTGCTATTAGCGGATTTACAATCCTTGAAATCAACGACACCGATGCATCAAGAACTGATGAAACTACCTAACAAACCGGTTCTGCATACGACGGCAGTTGAAGCAACAAAATCAGCTATTATCAAAGAAATAAAAACTTTTTTAACGAACTTCTCCCAACAACATTCATCATAGATTTTATTCATTCATTGCAGCATGCAACTATCACACCATACGTTTGTGATAATGCACACTTCGTATAACTTTAACCCCATCCATTACATTTTTTGTTTTTTTCCAAAAACTACATGATTTCTCTTCAATCTCCATATGTGAAATATTCACTATCACTCGCATCTGAATCATACATACAGCCAATCTGTTTGAGTATTGAGTTCAATCGTTATTCAAAACGATCGATGTTCAACACATATATTTCTCTGCCGTAAACGATGAATAGAAAGAATGCCGATGAATTTCTTCTAGTGAATCATTTGTCAAATGTAGAATTCATCTATCTTATCGCGCTAACTAAACATAGACAATTTCAATCATGATTCAATTGACGTCAATGTTCATCTTTCATTTTTGTTCTTTACACATCTTTATCTTGTACTTGAACAAATAAGCAAGAGGAGAGGAGAGAAGAAGAGAAGAAATATTCCATTCCATTTAGTAGAATTCAGTATTTCACAGAGAAAAAAAAACACACGAACAAATTAATTCATTCGCTCTTGTTCATATCTACTATTGCTTTTAGTCCACCCACTAATATGACCCTGTCCATGTGTGTGTAAAGAATATTTTAGCAGAGAAGAGAGAAAGAAAAAGAGAAGTAAACGTCAAGTGATTCAACTCTTCAACAGTTGCATAAAAGAGATTTGTCGTCGACGTCGTCGGTTTCTTCTTCATCGTAATTAATAATTGAAAATCAAGAATATATGTATTGTTACACCTTATTAATCAGATTGATTTTGACTTGAACAGACAGCCGGAAAGATCGACATGGATCGTAAGTACTTGTTCTCGCGCTTCGATTATCTTTTTTTGTTACTACATCTATCACACGAACAATTGATTTAACCACTTTCGCAACAATTCTATAGAGACCTCTCCCATTCGCCCGTTGGCTGCTAGAATATCGAGTATGCCTATTTGATTTCTGTCACTTTAGTTAACATCTGACTGCGCATATATGTGTCTCCACCCTATTTCGCCGTCATCATCATCAACATCAGTAACACAATGCTCTCTAACTTCTTTTCTTCTTTTTCTCCCTCTTTTTCTTCTCATTTTCTTAGCAGCAATTGAAATAATGTTGTTAGAAGTTGTTCTCGCTTATGTTCTCTCGTCAATTCTTTTCAATCAAAGATGCATTCTCATTGGCAGTAGTTAGTCGTTTCTTTTCCCTATAACAATGAATCAAAAAAAAGAAGAAAAAAGTCTCTGCTAACAATGCAGCAATAGTTAGCATGAAAAAAAAGAAGAAAAAAAAATGAGAGAAGAGAGGGTTGTTCAACATATAGGCATTGCTTGAAACATTTAAAAGCAGGAAAAAAAGAAAAGAGTTAAAGAGGCCATTCATGGAGTCCAACGACCCGACGCTATCAAACAAGACCTCAACACTATTACCATCGCCCTCGACTTGGCCAGCCTTGTATAGATCATATTTTGGTATGAATTGATTATATAACGAGATTTATTCGCATGCGTGTGTATATTGATTGTCCCGAATTGAGTACATCGAATAGCAGACAGAAATCAGAGCGAGAGAGAAAGAAAGAAATGATGAAAACGAAAATATTTTGTTAATTCCTTTTTTTCATCTTTGAGCTTAAATTGAACGCACATTAGACAAATTCTTATCACATGCAATGAAGAAATGAATAAATGAATTCCGGCAACGAGAGAGCGAGATAGACATATATTTTGTTTTGTTTCTCAAACGAAATAATGTCCTGTCTGGAATGTAGTTCAGGTCATTGTGGTAATAAGTGTATGGTATAAGAGATGATGATGATGATGACGACGTCGATCATTGAAACCCTTTCTTACTTCTCATCCTCGTGATATAAGAAAAAGAAAAGAGTTCAAAAACGAGATAAAGGTCTTGTTGTCAATACACCTTGAAAAAATCTTTTAAAAAAGCGAAGACGCGTCGCGAAGGTTACACACACACACATTTCGGTGTCTTCTTCATCATTCATTGTCTCGACGAATATAGACCTTTTTTCTCTCTGTGTTCTTTTCCTTCATTGTTGTTGTCACGTTTGCTTAACCTTTTCCTTTCGATTTTTTCTCCCTCATCATGTATCCCATAGCTTCATACTATCTTGTCATTCTTTTCCTTGTTATCTTTTCTTTTTGTCATCGAAAATTTCGTCTTGAGTAAGTAGATTTTCACTATCTTGAAAGACAATATTCTTTTTATATGTTTATTACATTAATAATGACCAACAAAAAGGTCGTATCTAAACCATGTCCGTTTATTGTGAATACCAAATATCCGTTCTGATACAAGGTCATATGAAGCTATATAGTTAACGAGACTCAAATGTTCTCGATGTGCACGTATTTGATAACCGAATATATTGAAGAGAAACGCGAGGAGAGGAAGAGAAAGAGCGAAAGAAATTCTTCCTCTCATTCTATTTTGACCATCGGCTATTGCATGATTTGTCCGAGTATGAATACACTCACATCATAGGAATGGATTGTAAGTAGACGGAAATCTTCTTCTTCTTCTTCTTCATGTGAACTCTATGCCAACAAGGATCTGTAAGATTCAATAGGTAGATCCATATCCTCCGTCCCACCTGAAAGCATTTGACTCTATTGCTCCACTTGACATATGCTGCTTGAGTTAGACATGAACAGAAATGTATGTATGTATATTCGTTCATGTATATTTGAGTATCTATTATTATCCTGATAGAAAAATTCGAATAAGTTGACATGTGTTTTGAAAATGATCAGCATGATAGACTTAATTGTGCATATGTGATATTATTCTTCTCTTCTTTTCCCATATTTCATTCGCTCTATTTCTTTTTCCTGCGCACGTAAATGTACTGGATTGGTCATTTTTTTTATCACATCCGCTAACGACATACTCTATCGATTGGAGAAAATTTTCTGAAAATGATCATGTTTTTCTTCTTCTTATCATATTCCAGCGTTTGCATTTGGTTCACCGATGACATTAATGAATCATCATCATCATCATCAACAGCAGTATATTCCCCCATCATGGTCAACAACAGATAATAATAATACACGCTTTCTTCCCATTGATTCTCAACAACAAGTCCAACACCACTGTCGTCCAACATTTTCCAATGAAACAAATGATAATCAATATAATTTATCATCACATATCCAACCGAAGATCGAACCGAACAATGTCATTATCAATGGGAGCAATGATACAATTATTGACGATCAACGTCCAGATACTCATTCGTCAATGATGAACGATAAACAAATGGTCGAATGTGTTGTTTGCGGAGATAAATCAAGTGGAAAACATTATGGACAATATACATGTGAAGGATGTAAATCATTTTTTAAACGTTCAGTTAGACGTAATCTTAACTATACATGTCGCGGAAAGTAAGTCGAAGTCTTGGACAGCCGTTGCTTTTCCCTACGGAGAGTTTCGTTCTAGTCGAAAGTGTCCGATCGATACTCATCATCGTAATCAATGTCAATATTGTCGATTTTCTCGTTGTTTGAAAATGGGCATGAGACGTGAAGGTAAGCCATTTTTCTTGTAGTAAAAGAAACTAATAATCAAAGTTTCCTATTTCGTGTACACTAAGCTGTCCAGCGCGGTCGTGTTCCATCCGTTTCCAATACATACGGCCATTTTACTTTTCCACCCGATGCACATAATTATTTAAACAACTATATCTCGCACTTAGTTCGTGCAGAATCTTATTCATTCATATCCAATCGTCTGCAATCGTCTTCATCATCAACTCCAGCTGCAGGTAGTTCATCCAATTCAAATTCGTCAACATCCTCAGAAAATACCAATCCGAATATGATTAATATGGACAATGCATGTGAATTAGCGGCTAGTCTCCTCTTCGGTGCCGTTGAATGGGCACGAAATATTCCATTTTTCCGAGAATTAACCCTCAATGATCAATCCTTGTTATTACAAGTCACATGGAATGAATTATTTCTGTTGAATGCCAGTCAATGTAACATGCCGATACAGGCGACGCAATTATTAATCTTAAATGGTATTCATAATAATACCATTGATTCAGATAAAGTCCAGACTTATCTGGATCAAACACGAAAATTTCAAGAACAAGTAGAAAAGTTCAAACTGATGCACTTAGACCATGCAGAATATTCCTGTTTAAAAGCAATTATTCTATTTACACCAGGTAAGATAGGCAATTCGGAAAACAAACGATCTGACGTTGTTGTTCAATTTCAGATGCATCGGGCTTATCCGATCCTGGACATGTTGATGGTTTACAGGAAAAATCTGTTCTTGCTCTCGAAGAATATATTAAAAGTCAATATCCATCACATATGAATCGTTTTGGTAAACTATTACTTCGTTTACCCTCATTGAAATTAGTTAGTTCACAAGTGATCAAAGAGATCTTTTTCGTTCGTCTGGTTGGCAAAACACCTATTGAATCGTTAATTCGAGATATGTTATTAACTAATAATACATTTCCGAATGGAACAATTCCAACCACTGCATCCTCATCGTCATCATCAAGTGTAACCAATACATCTGCCTTTAATCTTAATTCAACACAAGTATCAAATCAATATTCAGCTTTTCCACAGTAATAGAACACAGCAAACCAAAAGAAACGATACTATTTTTATTTTGACTAAAGCAGAGGTTTGCTTTTATAAAGCGAATGAAAGTATTCTCAGAAAAAAAAAAGAAAGATTCAATTGGTAGACCTCTTCGTCATCTCCTTCATTTCTTTTCCTCTTTCTTTCTTTTTTTCTCTCCTCTTTTGTTTTGTCATATAAGAAATAAAAGTCTATCTATCTACATATGCATGTCTGTTAACAATATGGCATCTGCCGTATTTTGAAGTATAGGAGTTAAAGAATTGTCAGAAGGCGTTCACCCGGAAGTGATCCTTTTCTTTTTCTTCGATGAAAATTAACAGGAAAAATCGATATAATTATGTTTGATCCGGTTTTATATTAATAATTGATTCGATCTTTAAGAAGAAGAAGGAGACGACCGCCATTATTGAATGAATAGACTCAATCAAGATTAACAGTAATGAATAAGTCGAAATAAATTATTAGAAGAAAAGAATTCAAGACAGAAAAAGAGAGTCAATGATGTAAAATTATGTGAATTCAACAGAACACATGTAGATGTTGAGCGTTAATTGCTTTTAACGAATTGACCCATTCTCTAAGTGGAAAAATAGCTTACCCTATCGCGCGCGCCATCTATGATATAACCAAATGAGTCCAGTAACGTCTTAGCCAGGAAAGATTCTAAAATAGTTTTAAATTTGTTTTTGTATGAATTAATTAGTTGAATTTTTTGCCTAAAAGTTCAATTTGATAGAGGCAACTCGTCCTCACACCAATCAAAACAGTTTCGTAGCGTTCGTTCATTTCGTATCTTTTGTCTACTTGCGCAAAAGTAAACTTTCACAAGTCTACAATTAAAGTCGTTCGGTTTATTTTTCTATAGATGAAGTTATACAATTTAACTTTACAACGTCCCGGTGGTATAACTCATGTCATCCATGGAAATTTCTCCGGTCCAAAGCAGCAAGAGATCATTGTTTCACGTGGTTGTGTATTAGAAGTTCTAAAACCAGATGCAAGCACCGGTAAAATCCATACATTGTTAAGCTATAATGTATTTGGTATTATTCGCTCACTTAATCCTATTCGATTGTCGGGTAGTAATCGAGGTAAACAGCGTGACTTGGATGCGTCCAAAGAATTTCATGCGTATCAATTTTTAGATTATATTGTCGTTGGTAGTGATTCTGGTCGGATACTTATTCTTGAATATAATGGACAAAAAAACGTCATAGAAAAGGCAAGAAACGTGGATTTTATTCAAATTTGTAAGAGACTTTTCTTCAGTTAGGTACATCAAGAAACGTTCGGAAAATCTGGTTGTAGAAGAATCGTTCCTGGACAATACTTAGCTGTCGATCCAAAAGGACGTGCAGTACTTATTGGTAAGCGATAACTATTTGAATTCTGCTTGAACAATTTTCTCGTTATTTTCAGGCGCACTCGAAAAGCAGAAGTTAGTTTATATACTGAATCGTGATTCTCAAGCACGACTAACCATTTCATCGCCACTAGAAGCACACAAAGCAAATACAATAACATATTGCATTGTCGGTGTTGATGTTGGCTTCGAAAATCCAGTTTTTGCTTGTTTGGAAGTGGACTATGAGGTAATATTCTTCCTATCGTGGAAACATATTCATTTCTATCTGATGATAAGGAATGTGACAATGATCCTACTGGCCAAGCAGCAAATGAGATTAAACAATCTTTAACATTCTACGAACTTGACTTAGGTCTTAACCATGTTGTGAGAAAATATTCCGAACCATTAGAGAAATTCGCTAATTTACTTATTACTGTACCGGGTGGAAACGAAGGACCAAGTGGTGTACTTGTTTGCTCGGAAAATTATATCACATTTAAAAATTTTGGTGATCAACCAGATATTCGTTGTCCAATACCAAGACGTCGAGTAAATATATATATATTCTATGAAAATCGTTACACGATGATTTTTTTGTCTATCTCTTAGAACGAAATCGATGATCAAGAACGAACGATGATTATTGTTGCAGCAGCCACGCATAAAACGAAAAATATATTGTTCTTTCTTGTCCAAACTGAGCAAGGCGATATTTTCAAAATTACTTTGACTCATGATGCCGATATGGTAAGAAACTCTCTTTATTACGGATTTGAAATTGTCGATCGAGAAAGCAGTATAGGATGATTTTTGTATTGAACGTGTTGCCATATGAAACAATTGATTAGAATATTCTTGTTCAATTCTGATTCTGCTTTTCTATCAATAATTTATAGAGACTCATTTCACTGGAACAATTGTTGTTCAACTACTAATAATGCCTTCTTTTTCCTTGCGATAGGTTACAGAAATTCGTTTGAAATACTTCGATACTGTACCTGTGGCTGCTGCGATGTGTGTTCTTCGAAATGGTTTTCTTTTTCTGGCTTCTGAATTTGGCAATCAGTAAGTAACAGATTTCACTCTGTGATGATAAACTAACTCTGATAATTGAATAGTTATTTATACCAAATAACTCAATTGGGTGATGCTGATGATGAACCAGAGTTTAGTTCATCGGAACGACTTGAAGAAGAAGACACGTTCTTTTTTGTACCACGTAAACTCAAGAATTTAATCCTAGTCGACGAAATGGACAGTTTATCACCTATCACTGCGTGTCACATTGCTGATCTTGCTAATGAAGATACACCGCAACTGTATGTTACATGTGGCCGTGGGCCCCATTCAACGCTTCGTATTCTTCGTCACGGTTTAGAAGTATGTAGAGAAAGATGTTTGAAAACCAAAGCTAAAATTCGCGATTTCTTTTTGATTATTTTAGGTAACAGAGATGGCCGTCTCAGAATTACCTGGTAATCCCAATGCTGTATGGACTGTGAAGAAAAGAATTGATGGTAGTTTCGAAACTGTGCCCACTTCATATACCTATTCTTATATTTTACTTAGATCCATACGATTCATACATTGTTGTCTCATTTTCCAATGCTACTCTAGTACTATCTATCGGTGAAACCGTTGAAGAAGTAGCTGATTCTGGCTTTCTGGGTACGACGCCAACATTGTCATGTAGCCAATTGGGTGACGATGGATTACTTCAGGTTTGTCATTGCTCTTCATGTGATCTATTTGATCGGAAAGAATTTGTTTGCTTTAGATTTATCGTGAAGGTATTCGACATATCCGAGCTGATAAACGTGTGAACGAATGGCGTGCACCAGGAAAGAAAGCCATTACACGTGCCGCTGTTAATCAACGACAGGTTGTTATTGGTTTAACTGGTGGCGAACTTGTTTATTTCGAAATGGATACAGTGAGTTTCCAGCAAATAGATTTCATATGTTCAATATTTTTGTTCAAAACTTTAGACCGGTCAATTGAATGAATACACTGAAAGAAAAGAAATGCCCGGTGATATCGTCTGTATGGCCTTGGGTTCAATACCCGAAGGTGAACAACGATCACGTTTTCTTGCCGTCGGCCTTTCAGATAGTACTGTGCGAATTATTTCACTAGATCCACAGGTATTTTAAAAAAGTATTCGAATGATTCTTAATCAAATTCGGTTATTTATAGGATTGTTTGAGTCGGTTGAGTATGCAAGCCTTACCAGCTCCGGCTGAAACCTTATGTATTGTTGACATGAAGACAACCGAAGGTGGCGTTGTGGTTGATTCCAGTAGTGGTCGCGAACAACAAATTGGGCCGACTACGACTTCCTTTTTAAATATTGGTTTACAGGTAGAATGAGTGAATCTTTATGTTTGTTTCAAACAAAAGAAAATAACTAATCTTTCCTTCTCGTGTAGAATGGTGTACTCCTAAGAAGTGTACTGGATTCGGTTACAGGCGATATGTCAGATACTCGAACACGATACCTTGGTTCGAAACCAGTGAAATTATTTCGAATTTTAATGCAAGGAAACGAAGCTGTGAGTACAATCAACAATGTCTGCTTTCTTCAAATGTTTTACTGTTCTTTCTCTAGGTTTTAGCAATGTCCAGTCGTACATGGCTTAGTTACACGTATCAAGGTCGTTTTCACTTAACTCCCCTATCATACGAATCTCTTGAATATGCTTCGGGCTTCGCATCGGAACAATGTCCTGAAGGTATTGTTGCTATCGCTGGCAATACTCTTCGGTAATTTTTTAATTGTATGACGAAGATGTCAGTGACTAATCTGCTTCTGCTTTTTTTGTACAGAATTTTAACATTGGAAAAACTTGGTGCGATATTCAATCAAGCTATTCATAAGCTAAAGCTAACACCACGTCGTTTCATCATCTATCCCGAAGTTTATCGACTCTACTTGATCGAATCCGATCATCTAGCTTATACAGAAGCAAGTAAACAACAGAAACGGGAACAAATTAGCAAAGTTTGTTGAAATTATCATTTGATAGAAAGGAAAGGAAAGAAACTATGCATTCCTCTGATTTAAGGAGATGATCGATGCAGCTGACAGCGAAAATCGAGAATCTGTACAAGAAATAGCCAATGCTATGTTAGCTGAAAGAATTCCCGAAGAAACATTTGGCGCACCAAAGGCAGCCAACGGCATGTGGGCTTCACAGTTACGTGTTATGGATACAATCAGTGGCGAAACGAAATTCCTCCGTGAATTTGAACAAAATGAATCAGCTGTTTGGTAAAGAGAAATGATTATCTATTGTTATCTCTTATTCTTTGTCGTATATTTTAGTTTAAGTTTAATGCGGTTTGATACACGTCCAACGGATGTATTTTTATTAGTCGGTGTTGCACGAGATCTTGTTCTCTCGCCTCGTTCACATTCTGGTGGAATGATTTACTGCTTTCTCGTCTTGGAAAATGGTGATAAACTTCATTTTATTCATAGAACGGTTGTTGATGAAGTTCCGTGTATGTAAAACGATAAATTATTCTCTGTCGAAATTAAAGCGTTCGTTTTTGTTTATTTCAAATAGCTGCCATATGTCCATTTATGGGCCGTGCTTTGATCGGTGTTGGATCGAGTTTACGTATTTATGAAATTGGAAAGAAGAAATTATTGAAAAAATGTGAAAACAGAGTAAGTCGAATGGATTTATTTTTCAACGAATATCTTCTGTCGAACAAAATTCAATATTTCCTCAAATGAAATATTGAAATCGTACAGAAGAAGATTAATCGGAATGATTTTAGCTCGTTAACTGTTTTCTTTCATACATATTGACGTGTATAAATCATTTACAAGCTTATCGGTGTCGTTTTCGAGAGAAGTTCATCATCGTTTTTCTTTATATATTTAGAACATTCCCAATCACATAGTGACGATACATGCCGTCGGTAATCGAGCATTTGTTACAGATATTCAAGAAAGTATACATATCCTTCGTTATAAAACAATGGAAAATCAATTAGTGACATTTGCTGATGATACTTGTGCGCGTTTTACTGTTGCATGCTGTTTATTAGATTACAGTACTGTCTGTGTAACGGATAAGTTTGGTAATATCGCTATTGTAAGTCACTGATGAATTACTACGGAAGACACAGTTTAACTTTTGTTTGCTATTCAGTTACGTGTTCCTGTCGATGCTAACGATGATATCGAAATCGACCCAACAGGAAGTAAGGGCTTATGGGATCGTGGTCTCTTGAATGGTGCACCGAATAAAGTAATTACTGAGCGAAATGCACAACTTCGGTTATAATGCATAGCTCTGTTTTAGTGTGATATACTCGCTCATTTCTATGTGGGAGAAATGGTTACATCTGTCCAACGAGCAACATTGATTCCAGGTGGATCTGAATCTCTTGTCTACACAACATTATCAGGCTCCATTGGAGTGCTAATACCTTTTGCATCAAATGAGGTAAAATAAAATGAAATGAAGGGAAAAAGACAGCAAATGTGTGAAATGATGACTAAAACATAGTCGTTTACAATTCGGATGACTAATGACGATAATTACCATGTTAATATCTGATCACTCATTTGCTGTTTTGATATATGTTTGATAATAATGACCAGAAGTATGTTTGTTTTCTAGGATTATGACTTCTTTCAACACTTGGAAATGTATATGCGAGCTGAGTATCAAACGCTAGTTGGCCGAGAACATCTGGCTTTTCGGTCTTATTACTATCCTGTTAAGGTAAGCAATCAGATAGCAAGTCAATTAAATGCTTAAAAAAGTCGAAAAATGAAACATTTTCTGTACTTTTAACGTCGCATTCGACTAGTCTCGATTGTGATAAGCATCTTTTGACATGTGTCTATTCATATTCAGAAATAACCGTATGATTGACGTTATCGATCATTATGTCCATGACCTATTCATAAACTTAACTTTTCCCGTACTTTAGAACGTTCTCGACGGCGATCTTTGCGAACAATACAATCATTTGGACATAAACAAACAAAAATCCATCGCCGAAGGTCTTGATCGTACGGCAAGTGAAGTGGCGAAGAAACTGGAAGATATTCGTACACGCTATGCTTTCTAATCGAACGCAACATTGCGCAAAACAAGAAAACAAATTTGACTAGTTAAACATTTGTGTCTTTTTCTTGTCGTGTTTTTCGTCTCCTTCTGTATTAATGTTTGTATTCATAAATGTTGTTCATATAGGTAATCTTTACTCGAATAATCGATTTAAAACAAAAAACTACATGCACATACATACAACTGACTTATAGCATATTATCATAGAGAGAAAAAGTGAAGCAAAAGAGAGAAAATTTTGCAAAAGTTAATAGACCGCATGTGTATCCATCATATAGCCAAGTCTATAGCCAAAGTTCACTACTGATTGAGGCATTCGAAGTGCATATAAACCATAGGCAAGCATGTTACCGACGCCAGCAGTCATCAATGTTTGTGGTTGATATGCTGTTAGGAAGTTGCGCCGATCGCGAAGAAACGAATAGGTTTGAGTTCGATAATAGTTATGTGCTGACGAAGCAACATAATTATTCATTTCATGTGCCACTCTCAAATAATGGTTCATCATACGGGGATTCATGCCTGTGCCGTACATTGTAATAGACAGATTGATTGGACTTCGATCAGGAACGAGTATTGATGTATATATGAAAAGGAGCAGCTGCTTTGTGTGTATATATATACGGTTGGATGTCACGTAGATGATCAATCGGGTGGAGAGAAAATATCGCTCACAAGACAAAAACATCAGATATCAGGTTCTCGCCTGACACTTGTATGTGAATCAATTCATCCGTGTCCGACCGCATCGTGCGATGCGAATGTCCTTTTCTTCCTAGCTCTCTCACGCATTTATCATTAAATGATAAATAAAACGATATTGTGCTTGTCAACAAATGAATGACTATTTCTAATAAGAGAAAACAAAATAAAGACAAGCGGTGAGCATAGTACCTGCACGTCTAAAACGTGTGTTTATGCATAAGTGCACTTTTATGCAATAGAAATTAGAAATGGCTATTTTTCAGTTAATTGCATGAAAATTGGGCAGGTCGTATGTCAGGTATCGAGGGAACGGTGATTATTATAGTTTATCTATTAATGAAAACTTAAATACGAAATTAGGAAGAAGAAAACGAGAAAAGATCAAGATGTTTTCGATCGATCCATGCTGAATATTATCTTTTATTCAAACAGTTTTTCTTATTTCTATTAATATCGATTAAGCAAACTATTTTTCATCGGCGAAAGGCAAGTCATCGATGTCTACGAATAATCTGTCATTCGAGAAAACATTCGAACAGTCATACGGACGAATGTGTTCGTCCAATTCATAAAGAAATTAAAGATGAAACAAACACACAGAAAAAACGATCTATATGTCAATAATGACGATGTTAATCGCAAGTGATTGATTTTGACAAATATTTGAATAAAAAGTCTTACTTTGAGGATTGTCATAAATCTTCTTGTCTGGCTACCGTTCTACTTAAAATTTACCCATATATTTTTATTAGATTACTAATACCATACAAAGAAAAATTGTTTATCTCGCTTGATTCTTTTACCAATATGTACCACATGTGTCAAATGATTATGTGAACTCTAATGAAAAAAAGATGAAACCTATGCAGTGAACTTCGTATTTTGATCTAACTGAAGATTATCAATGTCATTGCAATTCGATTGATCTCTTTCAAATCGAATTTCTCTCCATACAGTTTTTGCTCTCTTTCTCGAATATTTTTCCCCTTTCTCGTTGGGACGACTACAGCACAGTTCCATATCTACACCGCTTCCCTCGCTGTGGCTTATCGCTGTTCGATAAAGTTGTGTTTCTATTCAGAAATGTGATAGCCTAAATGAAGTATGGGAGACTAAACGAAGGATTTGCATTAGTTGTATAACGACAGAAATGGTGGGAATGAGAGGAGCACGGAAGGGGCAACAGGAACAAAAAAAAGTAATTTTTTGTATCTTCTCTTGATCTGTCCTTCGTCTCTTTTGCCACATTTATGTTGTCGTTTTGAAAATGACTCTCAGAGAGCAGTAAGTTGGTGTATATAGATGTTAATCTTACGAACAGCGTACGTGCCTTCGGTTACTCTACTTAAAACTATGAGTAATCCATGAAGTTTATCGTACAAATATCAGTGTGAAATATCTGAGAATAAGTTTATCCTTCTAAATTCTCAACGTATCATGATTAAACTGCATGCGAGAGAACAAAAACGAGAGAAAAAGATCAGAAATACCTTTCCCCTACGTCATCTTTCTTTCTTTCTTTTCCCCTTCTTCCATCAATGACAGAAACAGGCACATCCATACTCTCTATCATGCCATGCGAACAGAAGATATTTACTTCATTAAACCAATAAATTGCTTTTCTTTTAGATGCTCTGAACTGCGTTGATTAAATGAATACAAACTTCTTCGTACCAAACCAACAAATCACTATGTTCGTACTCAGACTGAAGTAAGTGACACCTGATGAAGATGCTTCGTCTAAGAAAAACGATTTGAACCCGAGACTTCGACATCAATCATGAATAATCTCTTATACATACGAAAAATCGATTAATACACATCTTAGGTCGTTCTCGTCGATTCTTCATTCGAATTTCCTTTCTTTCATTTCCTCATGCAAACGAATAATTACTCCTTCTGAGGACACAACAAACATATAACAATCTATCGAGGATTATTCAACAAATACAAAGCTGAAAAATAACATTAATCATTCCTTTTTCTGCTGATTTATTTAGAACTATCAATAGTCTAAGATGGCCGTTGATTTTTATGAGTAAGTGTTTCTGTTTTCTTGTTAGATAAAAAGCGTTGATGATCATTAAATATTCTACTTTAGTTGTTTTTTTAATTATTTATATATCAATAACTCAATTATCACGAGCAAGCTTGTATGGCATCTTCAACGTTTTCACGGTCGACTTCAGTGATGCGACAAACAGTCACATTCAAGTAGATGAAAATCATCTTTTGTTAGAAGATCTTTCCCAACGAGAATTTGAGTTAATTAATAGCCGACCGAAAATCTTCTTTGTGCAAACATCTGAGAATGATGATCTACTCTCCCGACATGCTTGTTCAATTGAATCAGCTGCACGTTTACATCTGACTAGTCTGGTCTTTGTTTTCATGCGCAGTAAAACTGTTCACTTGAAGAAAGGTTCATTCAATCATTTGCGATCATATACAAACATACGTTTCGTTCATTTCAATGAATATGATATATACTCAGGCACCACGCTAGCTCGTTTAAATCAAACTAAACGCATACCGTTCATTCGTTATTTTGCCATATCACACATGAGTGATTTCATACGTACTGCACTGCTATACAAATACGGTGGAATTTATTTTGATCTCGATGTTATTCCATTGAAAAGCTTTCAGTCATTTGCGAACACAGTTGCATTGGAATCAAGCGACGGCGTCAATGTTGCTGTTTTAACATTTGAAAAACAACATCTACTATTGGATATACAAATGGACATTCAAATAATGTTTGTTAATCAGCAATTTAATAGTTTATGCTGGAATTGTGTTGGACCATTGGCTATATCTGATGCCTTGAAACGCATTTGTGATGACAATATTTTGCATGTGCATTCGAAAGACAAATGCCATGACATTGATATTCAACCGTCGTTCGTTTTCTATCCAATCACATATCATGTAAGATGACGATGCCCATGAGCGAAAGGTTTTGAATTTACTTTGGTTTGTTTAGCAAATACCACAGTTTTTTCGCCGCACAGAATCAACAAATGGGATTGAGGATTTAATCAGAAATTCGAGTATTTATTCCGTACATTATTTTCATCATATGACAATGAACTTACCGATTGAACATCTTTCGCCATTTGCTCGCATCGCGCAGGTTTACTGTCCACATGCATACGAACATCTCGTTGATTATCATGAATTTGAATTCAAACAAAGCAATCCAGCATTTCAAAGATTTCGTCTTCATCTTCTATTTTGTCTATGTGTTATCCTTCTATTAGCCGGTGGTTTTTTATCGCATTTCACTTCTATACGTGTTGTTATGTTATCATTGCGACACAAAATTTCCTATGCTTGATTAGTAATTCTTAGAACAGACTGAATGTCAGATGTTTTTCTCTTCACATCTTAGGGCATACAGATTTATTCACTTGTCGAATTACGTAAAAACCAGTGACATTGTGTTCAGTCGTTTTCGTATTGAAATACATATTCACATTCTTTGTATAGAATGATTTGTAGACACTGTTATTCATCTAGTTAGAAGTATTTTATTTGATTTCTAATTCGGGCAACACGCAATTTAAAAAGTCATGTGGTCGTTCTGAATGAACCCAATGTCCAGCATTTGGGATGCGAATCAAGCGATGTGATGGGAAGAGACGTTTCATTTTCGGAATTGACTGATCACTAAAATGTATGCATAGAGAATAGTTGGACATCGTCAAAACGAAATTCGAGTTCATATTACGTTATATAATTTGATTTACCACCAGCAATAAATAGCGTGTCCACATTAGTCCTTGCATTATCGAATTCAGTTGGAAAAAGCATGATATCCTCCATGTGTTCTTCTAAAACTTCTAAATTCGCTCGCCAAACAAACTGCCCACTTGATTCATCAGAAGTAATAAGCATGAGAAGAAAATCACGAACACTTTTGTTCTACAAAAAGATATTGCAATCGATTGATATATCATTTGATCGTGTCTAGTACGAACCTGTCGTAATGATTCAGCTGATGCTTGAAGTATTTTATCCATTGCACGTCGTGCGGCTACGATATCTTTCTCGTGCTGAATTTTTTGTATATTATCCAATAGAATGCGAGCATACTTCGGAATTTCTCCTACTGATGCGCTGATTGTCGGTGCAATATCAACGACGATCAATTTTCGTATTAGTGCAGGCTAAATCTACCAGGAGAAACAAACAAATTCACTTATTTCCCATGAGACTTACTTCTTGCAAAGCAACGAGCATGGCTGCTTTGCCGCCCATACTGTGGCCCATCAAGATTGTTTTCGGCATATTATGTTTTCGAATTGTTTGCATCAAATCTGCAGCCATGTCATCATAAGTCATGGTTGTCGTGTACGGAGAATCACCATGATTGCGCATATCAACGGATACTACCTGAAAGCATTCAATTAGATAAATGAAAGGGGATAAATAAGTTTCTCATACTTACTTTAATATTTGCACGTTCACTGAAGGCTTTCGCTAATGATCTCCAATTCGTGCGAAAACCAAATAAGCCATGTCTACATAAGGAAAAGTTGATTGAGAGAACTAGTTTATAGAAAATGTACGTACGCTATAATCAAGCACCGCTCTGGATCGACTTTACCATCTGGTGGATTGTACACATCTTCGGCTAGATTGACTGGTTTAGCCGTTCTAAAGGAAGTTATCTGTGAATGGAAATTTTTCTTCTTCAGTTAAAAACCTACGATGTATGCTGAAATCTGGACAGAAGAATTCGACTTTTTCCATTGTTCGAAATAATAGAGGAACAAATCTTCAAGTATCTATTCATCTGCAATCAGAATTAGGCATGGTTGCTTTTTGTCTTTTCTCTTTTTAAACACATAGTTTTCTTCATGCTTTGCTTTTATTTAAATAAAAAGTAAACTCAGCAAATCCAAGACCACAGAAAGAAAAAGAAAATAACCGAGAGAAAAAGAGAAGGATGTTTCAAGTCGCTTTCGCACGTGTTGCAGCACGTTTGCCAACTTGAGCTTGAAAACCAGTCTTGATACCGGAAACGAAGTAGCGCGAACGACAATTATTACACAAAAGTACGGATAGACGTTCTTCCTTCTGCAACAAAGTATCAGGCGATCGACACGTTTTACAAATAACGTATTCCTCTGTAAAAAAAGAAAGGGCTGGAGTAGACGAGAATTCAAAATCAATCGGTTCTTACTGATATATGATCGAAGGACACTTTCGATTTGTTTCTGTTGAAAACGTCCTTTGATGATCAATGCATTGTTGGCATCGATGGAACCACTAAAAGTTATAAGAATATATTATACAAGAAATCAACTCGATTGAAATCACTCACTTTGTACCCAATTCAGCAAGTAGGTATTGATGTAAATGTTTCTCTTGTCGTTTAAGTCTATATAATTTCGATTCCATTTAGAACATCTCGTAAGAAAAGAAAGCACTTACGATTTGCAAATTTCACCGAAATTGGAGAACGAGGTACGTTTTGTACCGATACGTGCTACTTGTGGTGGTTTCAAAGTTAATTTGATTTTTTCACCTTCGATGACATTAGGATTCTTTTCACGAATGATATTGAATACCCGAGTTAGTAACTAAATACATAACGAAAAAAGAAGAAATTATTCATATGTTTCTTCAGCGCCATTGGCAAGTTCTATTGCCCTTACATCATCATAGGTGTATTCCCCTTGTACGGATGTCGCATCGGTTGCTGTTTCATCACTAGCTGCTCCAGTTGTCGTTTCTTTCTACAAGAAAAAGAACATCTTTACTATTCATTGGAGAAGTTCGTTTATCTTTACTTGAGTATCGCCTTCACCAGTTGCGTCAGTTTTCACAGATTTCTTCTTCTTTTTCTTACGAGTAGCAAGAACATCATCATCATCGTCATCGTCTCCAGCGGCACCACCGACTCCTGGTTCAGTATTTTGATTCTCTTGATTCTAAAGATCCAATCGTTCTAATAACTAAAAGATGAATTATTCTTTTCAACACATACTTCCGATGCTTCAGCAGCGAAAGCAACACTTTTGCTCTTCTTTTCTTTGGTTGCTGTTTGCTGTTCGGTGGGAATATTCTCATCGCCCTCTTTTTCAGCGCCTGCAGCATCATCTTTTGGTTTCTTCTTCTTCTTCTTCTTGCTCAAATCGAATATCGACTAGAAAAATTTCGTACATACATTTTGCTCATTTGATCAGCAAAAAACTGTCTACTTACATCATCTGGTGCATCACCTCCATCAGCCATGTTTAATGTTTATGTCTTCAACAGTAAAGTCGTTCGAATTGTGTCAATTTGGTAATATATATATGTGAAAACCTAATTTCTGATGTAATCCCAAACTCGTGTTCCTATTGGTCGATAGACTAAAACCATTGATCAAAAGTCGTGACCTCTATAATATCGGAATATCTTCGTCCAAAAAAAAAATTCTATTTCATTTCAGAAAAGAATCAATTAATCGCCAAAAAGATACACAAAAATCAATTCTATTCTCAGCTGCGAACATAACTTTTTTTCTGGAAGACAAAGTATTAGCGACGTGTGTAAATCTCGATGAAAAAATTCTTTGAAAAATCAAATAAAATATAAAAATTATTTTCATTTCGATATTAATAGAGAATCAACGTGAGAATAAACGAATAAAGAATTTGTTTATTTTTAATTTGTTGACATCTTGTTTTTTTTCAACGCTCTTTCTCCGATTTGTTTGTTTGCTTCTTCTCCTCCTTCTTCTGTACTTCACTCTTCAACACAAAAAAATCAGTTCATCAACAGAAAAAAAAGAACGATATTTCTCCTGGTTTTTCTTTCTTTTTTCTATACGATACTGTTGTTTTGTACATTTTATTAAGTATTTTTTTTTCCAGTCAAGTATATCGAAACATACAGGTAGAGACATGACTTGTATCTATGCAAGACAACATCAAATTTTCTATGACTTTTGTTCTGTTTAGTTACAAATTCATTTCATGTGATCATCTTTTTGTATTTCTTCCATACACATCGTGTTGATGGTGCTTGCATAAATTATACTTTAATACAATAATATTTATTAAAAAAAAAACTCGAAGAATCTTGTTTTTTCCCCGTTTCGAATGGCTGAATTTGGTGATTCATGTTGTGTGCCATCAACAATGGTAGTACAATTAACAAAACCTGATAAAAATAATAATACAACGGCTAATGTTGATGATGGTTAGCGAACGCCTCCTCTCATCCCCCCTCCCGAAAAGAAATGTGTTTTTTTTTATTTCAAATTTGTTTTACAGGTATCATTCTACCATCTGAACAGTGTGATGGTATTGAGGATGGAGCAGATGAGAAATCTGAATGTGTAAGTGATTTAATATCTAAGAAAACAGAAACGAATACTGGTTTGTTTCTTAGACTGGTGATAGCGACGATCGTCGTCTTTCCTCCGGTGGTGATGACGATGGAGTGAACACTACTAATTCTAAAACTAATCATGCAATTGAGATAACAACAGCTGCCTCTTCGACATCATCATCGTCAAATAACGAAAGTGAAGTGACCACAAATCACGATGCAACTACTAATAATGCCAATACATCTACGAATAATATTTGTGCAACTGATCCATATAAAGATTTTTCCGGTGTCGATACTGAATCTTTCATTGCAACAACACTAAGAAATAATCCCAAAGATCGAACATTATTTCTGCAACTCGAAACAGTTCTTCAACAATTCATTCAAAATGACGAACAAACATCGCATCAATTTCAAGCAATGAATTCATGTAGACATCATTCATCTTTTTCCTCATAGAAAATAATGACCTTTTTAACCCATAGATGAGCGTATGATTGTTCACCGTGTAGCAGCATTCTTTGGCCTCGATCATAATGTTGATAAAAATGGACAAGCTGTTGTTGTGACAAAAACATCGAACACTCGAATGTATGATATACAACTTCATCATATGAAGCATATTCATATTTGCCTTTTTGTCTACCATCTAGTCCCAATTTTTCATTTCAAAAATGCATTCCAGAGGATGAAGTGATCGGTGCAACGAATGGTGCTTCAGCAGCGGAGAATTCTACATCGGCAACAAGCGCAACAGAGATTCCTGCGCGTCGTATTTTACGTCGACACGAAAAGCATCCCAATCATGAACATTCGCAGCGTAACGATCTGAATGATGATTATACGAATTCACAGATAACAACATCGACGATGGCAAATAAAACCCAACCACTATCAAAACCATATTCAGAACGCGTTAACAATTATGCTGAGACACGCGCCAGAATTTTCAATGATTCCAATGAGCAATCGAACGCATTAATAACAAATAAAAATGCTAAAATAAATCAAAAGCAACATTCAAATTATGCACGACCTTCGTACCGTAAACAGCAACATCAGAACAGTTCTCATCAACATCGTTCCTATGCGTATCAGCATTCACAACAAGCAACTAATAATCATGTACAACAGTATCCAACGGGAAAAACTATGGATCCATCTAGTCATATGCTCAATACCTCGGCAAATAGAAGTAAGTACTCAAACACTTTTGAGCGTAAAGCTATTCGCTTCCCATGTTGCCATTGGTTTTAGCTCCATCTATTTATCCAACACAACAACCGCCATCAGTAAATTTAAGTATGACCCGGCCATCCATGTATGCCTCAATGATAGCATCGAATCCCAATGCAGCAACATTACTTCCACCAACAGGCACTTCGTTTTATACTCAATCACAACAGCCACCTGTTGACTATGATTATAAACATCAGACGGGTGGAGCCCATATGTATAGTTATGTACCTATGATACCTCCGACAGCATCTAATTTTATTCCTCAACAGCAACCACTTCCGCCTGGAGCAGGCGGTGTAGTAACAAATGGTCCGAATCAAGTGCCATCACAACATGCACCTGGTATACGAGTACCGATCATCTTTCATCAACAGCATGGTGGACAAATACAATATCTGTTTCCTGCGCATGCTTTGCAACAGCAACAACAGCCACAACCTCCACCAACAAATTCTTACCCATTAACACCTGATGGACAATATGTTCAGGTAAATATCAGACATGGCAACTCTCATCATATAAGACAAACAGAGAGATATTATTTCTTTCAAATAGATTTATCGACCAGATACATTATCTATGCCATCGGGCCCCCAAACAGTGCCACCGCCATCAGTTGTTGACAGTAATAATTCCCATCAACATCAATTTTCTCAAAATCAACCTTATCATCATCTTCCTCCTCATCATCAAATCTCTCAACAACAGCAACAATCGCAACAGCAGCAGCAGCAGCAGCAGCCGCCGCCGCCGCCGCCGCAACAAGTTCCATCATCTCAGTCTAATCCTGCACCGCAACCTCCACCTTTCGTACGACTTTTCCCTACAGGACAACCAGGTAATATGTCACATTCATTTGCTCAAACAAATTACCCACCACATCCACAAACAGCATTTGTTCCACCAGGTTAGTTTCGATTGGGTCATGTTTCAGAATGCTTGAAAAACATCTTTTATTCGTTTAGGAAACATATCAGCAACATCGTTTATGATTCCTCCACCGCAATCGCAAACTGCAGGTGGTTTACAATCCTATCCATCATTTGATAATAATATCCCATATAATGCATATGCTCCAACAACTACAACGGCAGGAAAGACTAATGCTGCTAATAATGGAACAGCAGTACAGTATGCAACAAGTCATCTATCAACGCTAAATTTACAAGGTCATCACGATGATTATCAACCACGTTTTATCAATAATCAACAAACGCGTTTTCCTCATTCGAATGGTTCAAAATTAAATAATCAGCAAAGAAATTTTATAGGTCGACCTCTAGTTCAGTCACCAAACAGTACAACAGTTACACCACGCATGGCTGTTTATTCAACATCAAATCAACAATATCGTCCAAGCCGTCCATATAACAATTCAGCAACTGATAAACAATTAACATCAATCGAGAATGATCCGAAAACTTTAGTATCCACACAACAACAAACGAATTCCGATAATATTTCGCTGGCCGGTCCAGCACAAGGTAAGAAACGAGCTTTCTTCTTTACTTTCGTTCATCATTGGTATAATTCTTTATTTAGAGTGATCAAAATAATGGCTCTTTCTTCAATGCACATTTACACACATACGTACACACACGAAATATAAACGAGTCGATAAAGTCTTTCTTCTCACCAAAATCAACAGCGGACGACCCGGGCACAATTCACTAGTCAATGATATCTCGCTCTCTTTTCTTCTGCATATCTCAGGGTCCGAAAGCTGTGCGTGATGTGTGTATTTCCTAATGTGCCTTTTGTGTGCGATAACTCTGTGAGAATAGTCTCGGATCTCGATTGCGTATATATGTGTGTATGTGTAGATTGTTGACTGATGGGCAATGGCATAGACCGATTACTTGTATCTTCCTCTACACTCTTTCTTTCGCTTTTTTCTATCTCTTTCATTTCTTCATCGCTCTTTCTCTCTTTTCTACTCTCTTTTCTTCCTCTTTTTTTTGTTGTTCTACAACGACGATCACACATTCGAACGACAGAAAAAAAAGACATCACAAAAAAAACCAAAAAGTCAAACATCAATCTTCTTGTAAACTAAGTGTAATTTGTTTGTCTACTTTTTACATATATACGAAAGGTTCGAAAGAAAAACCAATGATGCTAGACGCACAAAAAGCAAACAGCTGAACATCTCTTGTCTCATGTCAAGCATTTGAAAACGAAGTATTGTTTGCCGAGCGAATAATTATAATGGATCATTAGGTTCTGGGTAATATGAGCAGATAGAAAACAAAAGATGATTTGATTAAGAGGGCAAACGCCAGGGCGATGATTTTGCTTTTCTCTTCAGTCGACATATCATCTATTCCAGCTGTCTGTACGAGAGAAAAGATCGGCACAACTTTGTTTTTCTCTCTAGCAAAGGAAAATATGTACTTCTACACTACGAGTTCTTGTCGTCTTATTTTCTTGTTTTTCATCTGACAACATTCTGTAATAATCAACGACGAACGATGCCGTTTTCTCAACGTTATCTCGCGCGAAAGGTTTTACATGCATATCTTGTGAGAATTTATTTCGAATTTAAATTTCTCCTCACTAGGTTAACAACAGTGTTCGAGCAATAAATATGAGTGGAGAAATGTCACTGGTTTTGCCACATCTCTATTTGGGTTCACTGAAAGATCGAACGAACACATCATTGATGATGAAAAATGAAATAAAACGTGTTCTATGTGTCATTGATCTTCCAGACATCATCATTGATAAAGGTGAATATAAACCAACGCACGTAATGAATATACAAGCAGCTGACGCCCAAGAACAAGATCTTGCACAATATTTTGAGAAATGTATTGAATTTATCCATCAGGCCAGAACTGACCACGAAAACATTCTTGTACATTGGTAATAAGGATAAGAAGGAATGAAAGAATTCGAAAAAACTAGCATTTTCTGTATTTGTAGTCAAGCAGGAATATCGAGAAGTGCGACCATAGTCTTAGCCTATTTAATGACAATTGGCGATTACGATGTGGAAAAAGCTCTTCAGATTGTCAAAGGTGCACGCGGTTTCATTCACCCAAATCCGGGTTTTCTATCACAGTTAAAACGATATCACAGCAATGACGTTAAAAAGGTAAGCGACAGATGGGTTATATATGTAATCATATACTCGTAACTCGTTCAATTAGAACTGGTATCGTTTAACACGACGTTATCAAACTTATTCGTTTGATGACAATGATCAACATTTTGTTAAAGGTTCACTAGATGTATATTGGCAACAATTTGAACCAGCTTTTATCGCTGAGCCGGTTTTTTGGCCAACGTAAGCCTTTTTTTTCAAATTTCGTTGAGGGGATCATTATTTTTCTTTCTCTTAGACGCAAAGAAGATTCAAAGGAAATGTTGGGAGCTCCTTGCGAACGGAAAATGATCTGTTCATGTGTGAAGAAAACGAATGGAGCGATATAGGATTGCTTCTCGGTGGTACACCGTCATCAAATGAATTAAACATTGATTTAATCGAACAAAATACACTATCGAGTATTTTGTTTTCTTTCATGCTTCTTTTTTTCGTCTTGATTTTTATACATAAATGTACATTGACTGTTATCCTTTCATAGTCGATGAAGAGAAAAATGAGTGCGAACGAAATTAATCAGTGATGGTGAAGAAGGCATCCAGTATATCTTCATCAATAAGTCGTTTCGATTTGTCATATGTTTGATAAAATAAAACAAAATGGCGACTCAACTCTTAGAAGACAATATTTTCGTTGTTGTCTTCCTGCTCTGTCTCTCTCTCTCTCTTTCTGTCTTTTTCGTTTTTTTATCGCGTTTATGTCAATATAAGATACCTCTATGATACCGAATTGTCATCAGTAGAGTCGTTCGTTTTGTCGTTTGAAAAAGAAGAAAAAGAAACAAAGAAATAGACGTAGGATAGAAAAAAAGACTTCAAGTTTGAATATCAACTACGAGGCACATTTATCATGCATTTATTACATCAACAACAAAACTCGTTCTTCTTCTTCTTCTTCTTTGGGTTGCTTTTCGTTTTTACTGTAATAACTGCAACAGCCCCAACAAAAGGAAATCTTCAAAATATTCGATGCAATCTTCTACATCAAAATTGTACATTTGCACCACATAATATATCATCTAATTTGTCAACTGCTTCAGCTACATATTTTCAAAATAATTCATCAAGGACAACGCCTCGCACACGCACATCTTCGCGACCATTTTTATCAACAACTCGTCAACGTTACACTACAAAGTCTGACTCACTGTCAGATTTTGATGCATTTAGTGATAATTTAAAACGTGCTGCGTTAATCTTAGCTGGTATTGCACTCGGCCTTGGCTTTCTTCGCGTATGTTTGATGTTGTGCAAATCTCGTTCTCCAAATCATACGTTTTCGAGTCGACATTCAGCTACTGTTCGACCTGATATTGCCACAATTGAGCATCATCAATTTAAATCAGACTTACCACCAGAATATGCCGAAGCTATAGCAAATAGCGAACGTAGCAACGATGGTAAATTGCCATCATATGATGAATTGCCACATGAGCAAAGACAAGAACAATATGTATATAATAATGATGAATTTGTTTCAGCCCATATGTAAAGTTATTTTTCTACTACTATTTTGCTTCGCTCAAAATTTTTTTTGTTAAATGTGATTTTGCACAAACATAAATAATGAGAATACTATCCATTATTGGAAATGAAAATGAATTAATACCATTATATATATTTTGCCTTTGTTTTACATCTCGCTCAGCTCTAGTCTAGATCTAAAATGTACTATGAATTCAATGCGTCGAGGAAAGTTGTTATATCTATGACTCGTTTATTTATTGACAGTAATATCTTGAATGAGATGCATAGATTATACATTGATATTTAGATGGATTCGTCAGCTGCTTCTTCGACTTTCAATCGAGTAGCAAGTGAATCGTGGTCCGCATGTGAATAGTAGACAGAATTTCTATGAGACAAATCGTATTGGTTCGCCGAGTGTGGCAGCCCTTGATAACGTATTATATGTTCGTAAACGATTATAGAAGAGACACCCAAACGCTCTCTAAGAATATTCTTAATTTCTTTATAAAGTGTGAGTACTTTCTTTTAACCACATTCACATCTTCGCCATGCTTTTTTCTGATAAATGTATAATTTCAATACGAAGAGAATATCTATTTCTAAACATTCTAACTTGGACTCGATGAAATTGAGATTCGAACTCGCACCTTACGGATCTCTAAACAAAAGAATCGCAAATAATATCAGTGTATGAATAATATTCTTTTGTGTAAAAGTAAAATACGTTGAGTGCGTTCTATTGCTCCCTTACGCTTTGGTCGATCTACATAAACTGTTCGACGGAATACAAATACATTTTATAAAAAGACTTTATTGACTCGCAATATGGCTCTTCTACCAATAATTTTACTTGTGATATTCATTACTCTGCTAACTTATGACATATCATCGCTCCAAAAACGTTATCAATACTTTAGCCAACGGAATATCCCTACACCATCGTTGCCACTTTTTTCGGTCATTTCAACACAATAAGTAATGTTTCATCATATCAGCGTCAACTTAAAAATTGGACAGAATAATAGGGGAAAATTCCTCTGTTCATAGTTAGTGATCCAGATTTTGTGCAAGAAGCTTTTATTAAACAATTTGCCATTTTTCATGCACAAAAGAAAACTGTATTAGATAATATGAGTCATGATATTGTTTCTAGCTCAGGTACAAAATGGAAACGGCAAAGTTATGTTAGGAACCCAACATTTTTTGCAGCAAAATAAAAAACAATGAGTCCTCTAATAAACGGATGTATTACTGATTTGTTGAGTAAATTAACTACTCATGTAAGAAATAATGAAGAATTCAACATTTATTCGTATTACAAGCGAATGACAATGGATGTCATTTCTGAGTATATTTCGTCATCTTGAATCGTTTTTTTTTCTATTCGAAAACCCATTTCTGTTTTGGCCTAAGTCGTTGTGCATTAGGTATTGATACTGATGTACAAAATAATCCTGAAAATATCTATTTTGAGAAAATTCGAGAATTATTTGATAGTCACAGTCTTGATAAAAATTAGTTATTCACATCTGCTCAACTTCTACCTGAAATTCTCAATGTCCTTGCTAATCTCTTTGACCTCAACAATAGTGCACGTCTATTTCTTAATACTCAAATCTTACTATTGATATCATCAAAATTACAAGCGAAAGAATTGCCAACGCCATGGCTCATCAATCGGTTACATACTATTGTTGAACATCATCAACAAATAACTACTTCTCGATTTGACCTTCTCCAACTTATGTTTCAGGTAATGAGCAAAGAACCTGTCAATGTAAGCTAATCCTTGATCACAAATTGAAAAACTTCAAAGTCGACCATTAGATTATTTGACACAGCAAATGATAGTAAAGCAAACTATCGGTTAACTGAAAAGGATGTTACTGTTAGAATCTTTGCTCTTATGGCAGCAGAATATGAAACCACAGCAAATGCTTTAGCATGTGCTACGTACGTTCTTGCTACACATCCTGACATTCTTGAGAAACTTCAAGCAGAAATTGATCACCTTCCATTGGATACCAGTGAGAGTGATGATAAAATGAAGAAATATCCAGATTATGTTGTTGTGGCACAAATGCATTATATGGACATGTTAATTTCTGAAGTTTTAAGAATGTATCCTAATCTCGAAAGCAAACTGCAGATTAATGATCAATCAGTTATTGCACCACAAGAAGTTTCGATAAAAATTAATAAAGCGAAATACCTAATTTTTTTGTAAATTTGCTTAAAATAAAATAATATACGGTTGCGTATTCAATGAATCAGATTATAAACTATATCTATAAGGCTTATAGATTTCAAAGTATAACTGCTTGTCATTTATTTACTTACCTGCCGTTGTTGTGAAGCTATTACTTTAATTGTAGATCTTGACCGAGCATATTGAATATTTTATAAAAGAAATCTTTATTAGGGCGAGGGTATGTGTGGATATTGACAGATAAAAGATACTCACCCATACCCTCTGACTTCTGAGTTAATTTTGTCTTTTAATTCGATGACTGAAAGTTATTGGTTGATAGTTAATGTATGCGCATGCTCGGTTGGTATAGACAAAATAACATCCATAGCTAAATTTGTTTTACATCAACCTAATTAAAAGGGAAGTTTAATGTAAGGTTCTTTTTTGATTTTACCTTTCTATTCACAGTTTTTACATCGAAAAAGAACAGTCGATGGAAGCACATTGTCAGACAAACCATGGCTTTCGGACATTAAAACAAGGGTGTGTGTAATAAGTAACAAACCCCAAACTGACATTATTCAAGCAAATATACTAACCACAAGTTTCATGCTTTGCATATTGCAATCGGACCCGTTCGGCATAGTGTTTACTACATCTTTGACGCATCTCTGGAGATATTTGAGTCTCATGACAAGACTTGTTTCGCAATGTTTCCAGTTCGCTTTGAAGGAATGCCTTCTGATTTTGTCGAACTATAACATTCTCTATCAATTTCTTTCGTGTTAGTTATTGAATAATTTTATTTCTTGAGCTGGGATTCACATTACTATGAACAACAAACGATTCGTTTGTTTTTTCTATATCCGAACACTGAGCCTTATAGCGCATACCAATTTCACCAGCGAAAACATAGTGGCAGCAGCATCTGCGAAAAAAGAATTCGAACAAGAAGAGAAATATTCATTCATATCTCGATAATAAATAAAAGTGAAGTTGTAGCACCTCCTTTGGATCCTCCTTTTTGAAAGACATTTTTAGTTTCATTCTACAACAAATAGCATGGAATTATGACAGCAAAATATGTGTTGAGATGATATATCTATACATGCATAGCAAAATGTAAAAAAACACAAGGCACAGATCAATGGAAAAAGTGTTATTTTTTTCTCCACGGAATCTTGATTTTTAGGATATCACCAACTCAAGCAAGAAGAAAATTCATCTATATTAATGTGTAGAAAGCTACTAAAGCAAGAGATCGCATGTTTTATTTGCGCACAGGTATATGGAACATACGATAGATATTCCACGAAAAAATCCAGCACTTCCACTTTCGAAACACGGAATTTACCGTTTTCTTTGTTTGTACTTATATAACTATATATAACGGAATAATTTTATCTCACCATAGATGTCGTTAGTATACAATTACTGATTCCCAAATGTCACACGATATTTGGCTAGATTTTAGAAAGCTATACATTTCTACGCTGATAACATCTACAAAAAAGTCACCGTCAAAAATGAATCGATCATTCAAGTTACAGCGCTAATACGATCGTTTTCATTCGCTTACATCATTGGATGACCCGACCAATCCTATATCCGTAGGGTCATATTATTCCATCAGCGTCTTTCTACAGCAAAAAAACAGAAATTCATTGATCGATATGTAAAATCAATTACTTGATATGGCTTCATCTCCTGGTTTAAATTTTCTCATTGCCAAATATCTTCGCGAACTGCCAAATCCAACTCTTGCCAATGTGAGGAAATCTACTAGAAAAACAAGTCTTTTTCGTATTGAAATATTTTAGGAATTCATACAAACACTCGAGAAAAATAACGTAAGTTTAACCAAACTGACTCTAGAATAATCATGAAGTTAATGTCTATTAAGCTGTTGCCGTCGACACGCAACTGGAATGGTGTGCAACGTCAAATATCCTTTCAAGAACTAGTGAGTTGACGTATATGTACATGCGCTTTCACCAACTTGCAATCATGCTTTTAGGAACAACAATACAATCATGTTCCTGATAATCATCTACCGCAATTATTAGAAAATGTTATGTCTTATGTGGAACAAGGTATTGGAAAACGTTTTGGTTCACTATCAACGTTTCTTCTCCAATTGGATCCGACGTGTTTTCTTGAAAATAAACAGAAAACCTCATCAAGTATGCCTATTCAACAAGAACAACCAAAATCTAATAGAAAATCTGCGCATAAATTTTAGGTCGGCAATATAATATGTTTCGAACAGCATATCATCCATGTAAATATTTAACCAATCCAACCAATCGTAATATGCGTAAGAAGAAAGATTAGTTGTATCTGTTGAAATCTACATTTGGTTTCTTCTCATACGAATAGAATTGATTTTACGTGAACGAGAATATTTCGGACGAACGGTCTCAGTTCAAAAGTTGCCATCAAGTGATTTATATCAACGAATGAACATGAGATTAAAAGTCGTTGCACATAAAGCATCCGTCTACTGTATTGCTTTCGACCGTACTGGAACATATGCGTTATCAGTAAGATTGGTTCAATAGATTAACAGAATCATAGTTTGATATATTCAGGGTGCTGATGATTTTCTTTTAAAAATGTGGCATGTTCACACAGGTCGTTTAATGGCAACATTTCGTGGTCATTCAAAAGAAATCTGTGATATTGATGTTAATTTCGAGAACACACTTGTGGCCAGTGCAAGTTTAGATAAGAAAGTGCGCATTTGGAATTTAAATACAACTAAAATGGAATGTGTGTTACATGGACATCAGAGTGGGATTAATGCTACAAAGGTAGATTCTGCTGGCTGCTTTCACTTGAATATTCACCGAAAAACAACGTATGTTTTAGTTTTCACCATTTTGTAAAACCGATGACCGATGGTTAGCGTCGGTGGGAAGCGAGGGAAGTATTTGCTTCTGGAAATATCATGTTGGTGAAACAGAATTTGAGTAAGATATTTACAAACGCCTGTAGACGCTTATGCCAACTGAACTTATGTGAATATCTAGATCTCGTCCAATTAAATTTGTGGAGAAAAGTCGTGCCGGTGCACAAATGCTTTGTTTATCATTTAGTCCAGGTTTGTCACGTCTACCTGAATCAGAACATTTTCAGAAACGATCATTATGAATTTCAGGTGGTTATTTCGTCGCCGCTGGTAGCAGTGATTCTGTTATTCGCGTTTATTCCTTTCATACCTACTCGCCATTGAAAATCTGCGAACTGGACCGACATACAGTAAGTGGAGATTTACCCGATTGATCTCGAGACTTCAGCTTTGTTTTTAGAACGTTGTAGAAACAATTTGTTATTCACACTTAAGCAATTCCTTCATTTCTGGCAGCAAAGATGGAACGGCGCGTATTTGGCGCTATGAACAACAATCATGGCGAGCCATCGTGCTCAACTATAACAATGATGCAGATAAAACGTAAGTTGTTTTTATCGATAAGTATGTGAAATCAGTCGAACCATTTTCGAATTTAGTAATCATGATTCTGGCAATCATGTTAGTACTGTAAACAACAAATTAATACCTGTAACGATTGTTTCCTGGTCGTGTACTGATCAATGTGTTGCTACTGCGTATGAAAACGGGTTGATTAAAATTTGGGAACCTAATAATGGAACATTAGTCAACGAACTTAAGGTAAATATCGTTGACTGCAATATACTCAATTTAGTCAACATTTTATTGTAGAAACATGAAAAAACTGTTTTTGTCCTTGAATGTCATCCAACCAATGAACGTATTTTATGCTCTGCCGGACACGATGGGCTGTTAATAATTTGGGATATGGTTGATGGTCGAGCAATAAAATACTTTCTCAATGATGTACGTTATTTTATTGTTTTCTTTAACAGTTAAATATATATATATTATTCTTTCTCCACAGCAATACATTGATATACCCAATTCAATACCTTATTCAGAAGCAAAATGGTCTCCTAATTGTGATGTTATATGTACAACCGATCTGTGCGGTCAAATATGTTTCTTCGGTTTGGGTACTGATACACGATATAATAAAACACAAATCGAGCAATACTTTCACAATGATCTACGTCCACTCCTTCGTGATAGTAATGATAATGTTCTTGATGAACAACAGCAAGTTCCACCGCATCTTTTGCCGCCACCATTTCTTATCGATGATCATGGTCACGCTTATTCACCTGATATACAAAAATTTGTACCCGGAAGAGAAAATTATTCGCAAAATGATAACACAGCTACGGTTGTGAATCATGAGTATTTAGAAGGTAAAATAATATTGTTATCGTTGGATATTTCACATGTAATTGTTTAGATCTGATCATTGCCGAACCGCTTACGACGCCTGCCATGACTAGTGCATATATGACGCGTAAATTCGGTATGAAAGATGCCTGTAAATCAAATGAGATACTATTAAAACATGTTTAGAAACTATCGACCTATCCACGTTTCGTTTGAATATTGATAAAAAACAAACATTTGTTTATCATCGAAATTTCATTCCACCTATGAGTAGAGCTGAATTAGAGTAAGGATAAACTTTAATGCTTCGAACTTTCATATCTGTTAACATTGATATCTAGACGGAGTGGAGCTGTTCGTGAGACAAGATACGATGAAGAACGAGCTGCATATGAACGCGAATATTTGAAAAAAGCTGATCACGGAGATTCGGTATGACTTGATTATTGTTGAACCAATATATCTCAATGAAATGAATGTTTTTGTTTAATAGTATGAATCATCACCAGTTAAAAAACGTACAACACGCAATGTGATTAAAATGCGTCAAGAAGAACTTCTCAAACGCGTACCACACAATGTTGAAGTAGCCATCAATCGTCTAACGACTCGAGCATTATACGATTCTGATAAAGAAGACAAAACGGATCTCTCCGATGACCAATATTCACCAAATGCAACCGTACCTTTTGGTGATAGGTAAAGATAAATGAAATGTCTTTGAATACAAATACATGCTCTTTTTTCAGTGGAATGAGTGGTGGCGATGATGATAGTGTTTCAACAGATGAAGAATTAGTCGTTAGCACATCACGAATAACAGGTATAATGACCCGCACAGGGCAACAGAGACGCGTACAACGACATCGAAACCTATCTCCGGATGAAGACGACGACGATGACGACGATGAAGATACACATGAACATGAAAATCGTCGAGTGCAAGAAGCGAAAACACAACATCGTCGAAGAAACAAGTGGAAACGCTTGAAAAAACGTCGTGAACAAGTGAAAACAAAGAAAGAAGAATTCGAAAATAAAGACGATCTCGAATTGAATTATTCACCTGACTTTAAACCACCCGATTGGTTAACGCGCACAACAGCTCAATGTTCGCCATATATTCCACAAATCGGTGATACTGTTATGTATTTTGTACAAGGACATGAATTGTACATAAATGAAGTTAAAGATAAGAAAATGTACGAGATCGACGAAAAAACCTTACCGTGGAATAAATCGGAATCTCTTGACGTAAATATTTCAAAACAGTAACTGTTAGCCGATAATATCTTTTTTGTTCTTCTTCTTAAAAGGCTGTCGAGTGTGCGACGGTTATCGGTGTATCCATTAGTTTTTCTGATAAACAACCACCACGTGTGATCAATGTTCGATTGCAATTATTAGATCCAAATACTCTCGAAGCCACATCGCAAAGACTAAGTGTGAAGTAAGTTGACAATCAACCCTTTCGCATCGTTCATCATGTGCCTCACTCCTGCCAATCCTTTGTAGATTTCATGATGTTGATGGCATTGCAGATTTTATTATTTTAAAGCAACATTATGACCACGCATTACAACGAGATTGGGAAGCAGGTACGTTTTTCTCTGTACGACGTACACATCGCAAATTGTTTATTCACAGGTGATCGTTTTCGATGTTTCATTGATGATACTTGGTGGCCAGGAACGATTGTCAAACGCGAACCCTTTGATCAACTTCGTGAAAATAGTCCTTTTCAATGCTATATCATTCGATGGGATAATGGTGAAAACGAAGAGAGACTCAGTCCGTGGGATATTTTCGAATTTGACGATACTTGTATGCATAAAACTAATGACAAAGTCCATCTCGTTCATTTCGGTCTGCTTTCTGTTTAGCTTCTGAATCGCCTATAACAAAAATGCCAGCCTATCAACCGACAGCTGACGATTGGGCAGTTCATGATGTCGATGGTGAACGTGAACGTTTGTTGAGCGGAATCGATACATTGATGCAAATGGATGTATCTGAACAATTCCGAGCACCAGGTAAATGTTTTACCGGAGAAAAAAGACAGGCATTTATAATGCAAGAAATCATTTGTAGTTCAACTCGCATGGTATCCTGTGGTCATTGCGTATCCCATCGATCTTGGCACAATACGAGAACGCATTTCGAATGGTTATTATCGTCGGTCGAATGCTTTAAAATGGGACGTGAAAAAGATGGAAGAAAACGCGAAGAATTTCAATGAAAAAGGAAGTCAGATTATTGAAAAAGTTAAAATTATCACAAAGATATTGCTGAAATATATCGAGTAACGATTCCATGTGTCCTTCTATTCATTGAAAATACATCTATCTATTTTAGTGATTACAATTGTACCGATATCAATGTTATCTATCACAGATCATTACATGCAGAACAAACTCCATTACCTCTATCCACATCATGCGTATGTACCTTGTTTGGTGTTGTAGAAATTAACACTGAGCGAAACGTTTGTAAATTTAGAATGAAGACTGGTTAGATGATTGTCAAATGATTCTCAACGATATTCTGTCACAGTCTGGAAGTGATCTGTTACGTTATCCCATCGATGAAAATGAATATCCAGTACGCATACATCCGTTTACAGTTCGTGTTTCGTTGAGTTGTTTTTTTAATCGTCTAGGATTATGAACGAATCATAAAAACGCCGATTTGTTTTGACGATGTACAGGCTAAACTAAGTCAAACACCATGTGGGTATCGACATTCAAGAGAGTTTATTGCCGATTGCCATTTAATATTTCAAAATGCATTAACATATGCAGATCCGGAGGTAAGTTGAAGTGAATCAAACTGTCAGATTACGATCAAATTTGAAATTCGTTTTATCTCTAGATGATCAATGTCGTTCGACATCTGGGACCATGGTTCGATCGTCGTGTAGCTATATTTGATCGTCGACAACGTCGATCAAACAGTCAATATACTTCCGAAATGACTACTCGACAAAGGCAACTTGCCTCTATCTAATGAAATCGTTGCTAATGTTGGAATTTTGTAGGGAATTACAAAATTCATCGACGGATGAGAACAATCTTGATAATACTGGCGAAGCATTGACAGCTATCACCACAGCTGAAAGTTCCAGTAGTCGACAGAATCGACGAACACAATGTGATTTCTTTTCATATCTTTAATTTGATCAATGCAAATTTCTTCATTTCTTTAGTCCCACCAGCGGGCCTCACAACAGATCGTCGGCATTCTCATTTCAATCGGCTATCGTCTGCAAATAACCATTCAACAACAACAACAACAACACAAGAACAAAACTCCGACGATGACGATGACAACGAATCTGTATCCACGCAGAGTACTCAACCAGTGTCCTTAACTTCATTTGTTCACACGACAACGAGCCATGATATAAATCTATCCTTACGACAAACACGGCAACGCATGAATACTAATGAAAATAATACGAATAATTCATGGCAATCACGTACACGATACAGTACGAGATCGATCGCTTCGAATCGCAATCTCAACGAAGATTCTGATGATCGTCATCAGCAGCCGACAACTTCATCACGAATGTTATCCGCGTCGGACGATGACGACGATGATAACGATATTTCATCGAATAGTAAAAGAAACCGCATCGAACGTGGCGATAGAAGAATATCGTCCGTCAATCGGCCAAACTATAAAATTGATAGTGACGAACATGAAGACGACGACGACAATCAGCAGAAAGCGAATACAACGAATGATAAGATAGAAGACATGGAACAAGCAGAAAAAGATCATGATAAGAGCAAAGGTATGTCGATGGATATTCTGCTCAATAATAACTGTATATATTCTGCAGATAAAAACGATGATGAAGATTATGAGCCACCAACAGCGCTGGTAGATGAAGAAGAAGAGGAAGACGAGGAAGAAGATGATGATCAAAATGGTGTGGGATCCCCTCAACAGAAAGATGACGATTCCGATTCGGACTTTCAATTGGATGAACCAAGTCAGCACCGTCGTGCAAATACAAATGGTAATCGTGTGAGGAAACTGCGAAGTACAACCAATCGTCCATCGCCTCCATTACCCAATCAAAACAATAAACGTAAGCGTTCGGTAGTTCGTACACGCTCATCGACAGACACGGATTCGACCGATTCCAATGTCAATCAAGGTTATAAAACGCGAACTCGTTCACGGCGGCGCGCAACAACGAGCAAGAAATCTACGCACGCAGAAGATTTTTCTGACGAAGATGAAGATGAAGAAGATGAAAATCGCCGACGGCCACGAACAACTCAACCGACTCGTGTATCTAAACGTGGTCGAGTTCTAAAACAGCGTTTACTAAGCGAATAATTAATGAAAAGACTCCTCATTCAAAATTATTTGTTCAGATCTAGTCTTCTGCAGCTTTTCTATTGTGATGATCGTTGTTTCAAAGTGAAACACGTAATAGAAGAAACAAAATAGACAACAGTGACTAATATTCAATGTGTACTATCATTTTGATAGATTTGCTTCTTTTGTTTGTTGTACAAATACACTATATAATGTTCTTATTTTGTTGTTGTTGTTTGTATGATTGACAATCTGTTCAGTTTTCTCTCTTTTTGTTCTTTCATTTGGGGAAATAAAAAATTTATACATTGTGTGCTTATTTAACTCAAATTTTATTCATTTAAAAAGTAAAAGACGAAAGAAAAAGAAATATTGTAATCAATCATCATCTAATGTAAATGTAAACATTTGAACACCATCATATGAAGTAAAATTGGTTTTTCTCTTCTCATTCGATGTTGCCATCCCTTCATTAGTCATTGGCACTAGATAGTCGCCATCGTCACTTGATTTCGACGAGCCTAATTCAGAAATAGGAAGAAATAACTCGAATAGAATGAAATTTCACAAAACATACGATTGGATTGTGCGGGTGGCACAATAGCAAGTGATTGACGCGATTTTTTCTTAGAAATAGTTCCTGTGCTTACAGGAGCTATTTTACTAATTCCATCACCAGTGGTGAAATCAATTTTTTGACCAGTTCCTTTGGAAACAAAAGCATACTTTTCACATTTTGGCGACTCAGGTTTTTGTATAAAGGTTTCTGAAGAAGGTTGCGGTGGAGATACTTCTTTGGCAGTATAGACAGGCATTGGTTTTTGGGGAGAATCAGGCTTCTGAACGAATATATTTGTTGAACGCTGTGCTTTGAGAATTTCTTTGGCAACTAATGCCATTTGTTGTTTTGGGGATGGATTGGATTGAGCAATATTATTTATTGGGGTTGACGTACAAACCGGAACTGTATTTGATGGACGAATTGGCGATGGACTTTGTCGGGAACAATTGACATAGATTCGAGTAATATGAGCGCCAGTAGGGTCACACATAGTGATAACGAATGTAATAGAAGATGATGGAAAGTATCTGACAATGAATATGTTCTAGTTCGATGACTATATATATATATATGTGCCTGTCTACATCCTCGCACGAAGAGAATGAATATCCAGGGATGAAGAGAGAACGATCAAATTTGTTTTGATATGTCACTCTCTGGTTAGTTCTCTTCGTTTCGTTATTTTTCGAAGAGAATGTTTCTTTTAATGCTCGTTCTGTCGCACTCTATGATTCACCTTCTGCGACTTTATATCTCCGACCTATTTCTTTGCAAAAAAGAAACGAAATTTTTTGAATTTGTCAATTGGTGTTTGCCGATTACCCTGAATAAAATACAATGTTTACAACAATTAGTCGTACGATATTTCCGATAATTTTCGGTCGTCGTCACCCGGAAAAGTTGAGTGATGGAACAACAACGCCCTTGCAACTTATTCGTTTACAAATCGAACAAAAAGTCAATGCAAATTTTCCGCTCATTCATCAGGTGGCAACAACAATGACTTTCAAAAATACACACAATATCGTTTTGGAAGGTGCATTTGAATTTACCTTACCAGAAAACGCAACCATATGTAGTTATGGTAAACTATTATAGTTCTACTTATTTGTGCTTTATTATTTTGCAACTTTGTTTAGGCCTCGACGTAGATGGTGTTATTGTAGATGGAGTCATTGTTGAGAAACAAGCTGCGAGGATTATTTTCGAGAAAGAAGTTCGAAAACGAATCGATCCCGGCTTTGTGGAGCTAGTGACAGGAAATGTATTTCGTACTCGAGTATATCCAATTAATCCTCAACAAACTCGAACAGTTCGTGTTATCTATCAAGATCAAGGTCTTCCGAATATGAACGATTTCCATTATCACATACCTCTACAGTTTCAAACCACTTTGGAAAGTCTTGATATTGTTCTGACATGTTTCGGACAAGGATCAGCAGAACCATATGTTCTTACCAATCCGAATCATATGATGTTAAACTCTTCTAAATTCAGTCATCAAGGCGATGGAAAACACGTTGCCGAGTGGCATCTAACCAATGTTCAACCATCTGGTAATGGTGAACAAACATTGGTATACGTTTTGCCTAATTCTCTAAAATCAATTATCAGTGCAGTAGAAGGAAGTTTGAACCTCGATACCTATTTTGCTGTTAGTTGTACACTGCCAAAGCCAACTGAGCGGCGTAAAGACCAACTCGATATTCCGACCAAAACGATTTGTCTTCTTTGGGATGCAAGTTTAAGTCGGTCAAATTCGAAAGAAAGTCGACTCTTGGAATTGTACGCATTGAAGAAGACCTTCGATGTTTGGTTAAGTCGCCTTCCTCGAATTGAGATCATTTGGATCATTTTTCGAAACGATATGGAACAACCGGAATCGTATCAACTTCAATTTCATAACTGGAATCACTTTATGCAAACTTTCGAAAACTTACCATACGACGGTGCCACAAATCTCTCGCAAATTTCAACAGTTAATCTTACTCAGACGGTAGACTACTACTTTTTATTTAGTGATTGTATCTCTACTATCGGGGATGAATCTTCATTTGAACATCGATGGGCGAATTTGAAAGCGCCTATTTGGATCTTTAATGGGAATCAACCGCATGAACCATATGGTGTTGATTTCGTTCGTTATTTAACACAATATCATTCTCACGGTGGTGGCTACTTTAACCGAGATAAACTACTATTAAATTCCAATGATTTGGTCAATATCATCGAAACTATTCAAATCAAATATGTTAAACTTCATTCTAAAACTACGGTACAGCAAATATATCCAAGTGATTCAATAAATATCTCTTTCGATACGGATCGATTTCTTCTTGTTGGGCAACTTCCAAAACCATTGCTGAATTCACTTGAATTTGAACTTGAATTTGCCATGAACAATCAAACAACCCGTTTGCCTATTTCTCTCGATATGTCCACAGATCAATTGAATTTCTTTGGGCTTATCCGCCGACTATGGGCACAACAAAAGCTAAATCAATTAAACGTATTTAAAGATAAATATCGCACGGAGATATTGTCAATTGGAATGGATTACTCCTTAGTTACTCAGTTCACTTCCTTGTTAGTTCTTGAGACATTGCAGCAACATCTCCAATATCATGTATGTCCAGCAAAAACACGTACAGTTCTCTATAACGAATACATGCAACATCAAACTAAAGAAAGTCAACAGAAGGAAAACAATCAAGCGAATGTACTTCAACAATGGAATACAAAATGCCAATGGTTTGATCGAGCTATCACCGATGCCGATCGACACCGAGCTTACTTACGAAAATCTATACATATGCCAATTACTAATGAAGCTCCTAAGGAACGATTGCAAGGAACGTATTTCGCCTTCGGTTCTCCTAATTTACACTCTTCAATAGTTAACCAGTTCAGTTTGCCTCCCACTCAAAGTAATTCATATATTTCAAGCTCTTTCGCTGTTCCATCGTTCTCGTCAACATCTGCTTTTGGAAGCATACAAAATCAATCGAATTCTGCAAATTCTTCCAATAATCCTTTAGTAACAGACGAATCGACAACAATAATTAGTCTTCCCGATTATAATTCACAATCATCTTCTGTGACACGCCTATCCTCAGCAAGTGATAGACAGAGTGCATATTTAATCTATCTCAACGAACGAGCATCACATCGTCAACCGCCATCGTTCTATTTCGATATGGCCTCGTTTTTTCTCTCGCCTACGTCATCTTCATCGACCCTGGATCAGTTCAATCAACAGCAAGAACCAACCGTTCAAAAACTAGACGCGAAGTCACTTGAATATGGCTTGCGCATTTTAACAAATGTTTTAGAATTAGAATTCGAAGCGCCACAATTATATCGAATGGTTGGATATAAACTAATCGAATTAAAACAATGGAATCTTGCACTGCAAATCTTTCAAAAGGTTTATTCGCTACGTCCAGATGAACCGCATGCGTTGTATGATTTGGGTACAGTTTCGATTGAGCTAGGCCAGTACGAGCAAGCATATCAATATTTCAAACAAATCCTTACTCAAACATGGGACGCACGATTTCGAACGATACTCGTCGTGGTTCTGTCAGATCTCAATCGATTACTAGTTCTAATGAACCGAACTACAGGCACGGATATTGATTTTCGTCTTGTCCGTCATTTACCTACAGATATTCGAATTGTCGTTCAATGGGATACAGCTGACACAGTTATTCAACTTTCTGTTGAAGAACCAACTGGACAAATTTGTAGCAATCATTCTGGCTCATCACAAACGGATATTGGCGGTTCGATCGTTAATTCACCATTTGAAGTTGAACAACCAATTGAATATCTACTGCGTACAGCAATCACTGGTAGATACTCGATTCGTTTGACGTATGTTAGTAATGCTCAACATACCTTAACTGGTGTAACAACCGTTCTAGTAACGATATATAAGCATTTCGGTTCGATCAATGAAGAAAAACAAACTCGAACACTGCGACTAACCAGCTTGAATCAAACAATTGATGTTGGCTATTTAGAATTCAGTGATATGAGCTTAGAAAAACTTAAAGAAGAATTAGCCGCAGCCAGAGATGAATGTCGTCGCCTTCAAGATCGGTTAATTACTAGTAGAAATCACTCGTCGATTCAACATCTGAACATTACATGTGACGGCTGTTCGAAAACGCCCATTGTTGGTGATCGTTACAAATGTCTCTTTTGTCCGAATGTTGACTTCTGTGGCAATTGCCAATCCTCTGCGAATCATCAACATGATTCGACACATCCATTCATATGCATTCGGGATTCAACTATCTATGCGTCATCTATTTACGCTCAAAATATGAGTCAACTTGTACATGTGAATGCACAATGCGAGTCATGTTCTGTTTTGCCCATTACTGGAATACGTTATCATTGTGTACACTGTCAAATCAATGTGTGTGAAAAATGCGAATTTTTGGGGTTACATAACCTGACGCATCACCGTTTGAAAATCATTTATCCACAATGACTCGACAATATTTCTCCCCTGCTTTGCTTGTTTTTTTTCGATACGCTTCAGTGATTGTTTTTATAAATCGTTTCTGTATCGAACAGCTCATTAACAAATAGAAATAAACTTGACCGTATTGATATTTCTTGCCTGATGGAATATATACATGTAATCTACACGAAGTAGGTAGCATACGCCTTGATGTATACACAGAAGAAAGACGTGAAGTGAATCTTTCATGGACATTTCAAACAGATCACAAGTATCATCAAATAGAAACATGTTTTGTAGAAAGCAGTACTGTTCGATAACGATAGATGAGAGATCGATAAGACTGAAATGGAAATATTGATCTAGCACAAAGGAAACAGATGCTGACGAATCGATGCAGTTATATTAAGAATAGAGTATACGAAGAGAAAATTTGTATTTGTAGATTTTGTCGATATCTAACAAATCGAAGGAACATTTTTTGTTTATTTAATAATCACGCCACAATAATTTCATACTCTTTAAAAACACGAGAGTGCACGACACGGGTACGCTCGCAACGCCAGTTAAGTATGGTTGAGTCGTTCGTACAGGCCGTACTTTGAGTGCAGAAAGAACAAAATAGCATTTATATGAAGTATGACTGCGGGTTTTTTCATCGTCGCAGAAATGGATGTCTGAATTATTTTAAAGTGCGTTATAAATTTTGCTTGCAGCGCGGCTTTTTGAGAAAAAGAAGTATGATCATTGAAGACGAGAGAACATTTTCGCTGATCGTATACCTTTTGAAGGGAGAAATGTCACATAACCGATAACCTAGGCTTTTACAAACGTGCTAGCCTACATTGATAGATTTGACAAGAAGAGCGACTAATCGTTGTTCTTGCAAAGAGCTAAGTTTCTTTATTTTAGATTTGTTTGCTGACTTCAAATGACTAAACATTTGTCTAAATCTGTCGGACCATCCTCACCCTACCTACTAATAGCTGTACGTTGGGTGAACATTCGAGTGCTTTCATCAATCGGATGTTTTATTATTCTTCTATTCATTTTGCGATATAATTTTATAACATGCTTTTATATTATTCAAACATATCTAACATGGTTTCGATTTTATTCTGGAGTAATTACTGCGAATGATAACTTTGATACATCCATGTCAAGTTACCCGCCAAATCAAACATCAGCGCAACCAACCTATGCAGATATTGTTCCAGCTATTTTACATCATATTGTCATTGGTAATCTCGATTTAGCTCAACGGCCAACATGGGTGGCTGCACGAGATGCTTGCTTGAAATGGCATCCCAACTATGAATACCGATTTTGGAATGATTCATCCGCTGAACACTTCATTAGAAAGGAATATCCATGGTTTTTACAAACATGGGAAACTTACCCGTATCCAGTGCAACGTGCCGATAGTTTACGGTATCTGGTTTTGTACCGTTACGGTGGTATTTTTCTCGATATGGATCTCCATTGTCGTCGATCATTAGGACCACTTCGTCGCTTCGAATTCATCTCACCATTGGCCGATCCTGTTGGTATATCCAATGGATTTCTTATGGTTTCTGCTCGTCATCCATTTTTTAAAGTTCTTGTTGAACAGTTGCCCTTATTCAACCGGAATTTTATTCTACCTTATGCTACAGTGATGTTCTCCACTGGTTGTATGTATCTATCAACACAATATTCGTTGTTTAGCGAACGATGTCGATTAAAACTGTTGAATTATGAACAACATCGTTTGAGTGGAAATATTTCCACACCACTGTTTCATCATCAGGGCAGTAGTAGTTGGCATTCGAGTGATGCAGCGTTCATCAAGAATATTTATAATGTTCTTCGCCATCTGATTTATCATCGAAATTTTCTTTTGATTAATCTATTTTCGATTATCATTGTTGTTTTAGTAATATCCTATCGACGACGAGTGAAATCTCAGGAGAGACATAGGAACGTTTTACAATTTTAAATGAGTATTCTATTTTACTTATGTTTGTTTAAAAATACAACTGCGATCCGTCCATTTTTAATCGCGAAATAAAACGAAATTCAATGTTTGTCTAATGTTGTTTTTCTTTTGCAGATCGAATAGTTTATGACTCCATTGAAAGAATATCGACGAAAACTTTGGTCTCCGAAACAAACTTACATTCGTCTCCCATTAGATGAAGTATTATTATCACACATTGATGTGCGTAACCATACTCTCCGATTAACAAAGACCGGATTTCTTTTTCAAACTTATCTATGGATTTGTAGACACAAATGCCTATTTACTTTCATTATTTTCGTTTGTATACCGGTCTTACTCTATACATTTCTATTACTTTTATCAACGACTCAAGTATTACTACCAAAAAATATTCAGTCAAATAGTATTCGTCGACTGTTATTAGTTGTTGCTCATCCTGACGACGAATGTTTATTTTTTTCGCCTACATTACGCGCATTTCAAGCTCAGCACCGTATCGAATTAAGTTTGCTGGTTTTCTCACGTGGTAACCATGTCGGCCTAGGCAACACTCGTGCTCGTGAACTACTTGGATCATGCCAAGCATTAAGCATTCCAATAGAACGTTGTCTTTCATTAGACTTGCCAAACATACAAGATGATCCAAAAATTTGGTGGTCACAACAAGAGCTGATTCCTATCATTAATCGATACATTGATTTATGGTCCATTGATTTATTGGTATCGTTCGATCGTCAAGGCGTATCAGGCCATATAAATCATCGCGCTGTTGGATTGGCTGTTCGTGAAATAATAACAAGTGGTAATTATACAAAAGCAAAAATAGCTTACGAATTACAGTCAGTTACACTACTTCGTAAATATTCATCGATCATTGATGTATATTTTGTCTTTATCTCGTTTGTCCCACGCATATTACGTGCATTGCTCTCTTCGATAATTCCTTTCAATCTAATTTCACCGCCAAACTCCTCTCGAGTACTGCTACTGAGTACTCCGCATGATTATATGACTTCGCGTACGGCTTTTGCTAGTCATGTAAGCCAATACAATTGGGATCGTCATATATATCTGATTGCCAGCCGTTACATGTTTATTAATGAACTGAACTCTATAGAAAAGAAAATAATAGGACAATGAATGTTTTCTTTGTATGAGAATAATAAAGAAAAGTGTTTTCAAGCATTTCCATTTCTAATGCTATTCAATCACAATGACCACGTGGATAATGCAAAAGGACACCGTCTTGTAATAATCTCTCTTGTAAACGATTGATATTCACTGATTGCACATCGATGTGACCATCTAAGATAGCATACGCAGCTGCATAACCTGCTGCGCCACCTAACATCATAAAATGTGGTTCAACACGCAGCGCTGAATAAGCCACATGTGATGCAGCATGGCAGACGGGAACTAGTAAATTTGTTACCTCGCTTCTCTTCGGTAGTAGTATGGAATACGGGATTTCGAAAACACCTCCGCTTTGCGACCCATTCACACGCGCTATTTCTTTGAACATCGCTCCTTCATTATTCACGTAGGAACCGTTAGCTGTACGTGTTACAACATGAATATCATGTACCCAACTACCTAATGCAACCGTATCGTTTCGACATAGGCCACTAACGACATGATTTTGTGTGAAGACATTCTCATTCACTAGACGCAGACCCTCACGAACGTAGAGTTGTGGCGGAATGTGCTGATTTTCTGGCCATTGATCATTGCATAGGCCATAGTTCTCTAACGATTTTCGCGTTGCTTCTGGCACAAGTGGTGACGTTAGAATATACCAAAGCATCCCGAGCACATAATCAGATACCTTTTGTTGAATGTCGAGACGATCCTCAGTTGTTCCATTCACATAATTTCGATTTATATTAATTGCGTCACTGGTAAAAGCACTTCCGAAACTATCACACATATCAAATTTGTCACCGTCGGGATAACCTCGATAGATTAATATGTCAACTAGTTTACCAAATGGTGGTCCCTGTGGATAATGTCCTGCTGCCATTAGAGATTTAATATATCTTTGTAGAATAATAAAAGTATTTGGATCGTAATTGTTCGGTTTGACAAATGGTGCTTGTTTCGCTTTGGTTGGTGTCAAACATAAACGATAGGAATATCCCATCATGTTTGAATCAGCAGAGCCAACTGGACCTAGTTTTTCTCGTGAAACATACGGTGCCACCGTTCCATTATCTAACGTGGCATTCACAGGATAGTTAGGAATGAAATTTGCAAATGTTGTGTATGGTTGAACACCAGCCAGTGATTCATTATATTGTGCATGTGACTCTCTACCCCAGGTGAATGATGCATTAGAGAATCGAACGAGATCACCTTCATAACTGGCATCAATCCATACAGTTGCATTCCAGACACGTTGATTAGTGTTTGTAGTTATTTGAACGATACGTGTACCATTCATGACGACACTCTTATCAACCACCGGACCCGTGTTCGTAATTAGTTGAATATTAGAATGCACGGAGAGTAAATCAAGAAAACTTTGCCGACTGATATTCATATCTGGTTGATAGATTGGCTGTGACACGTTCTTATAATATTTATAATTATTATTTACCCAATCTTGTGCAACAGATCCAACAACTACAAAATAACAAAGCGAAAATGTACTATATCTGTACAGAGAAGGCACTCACTCGTAGCCTCTGTGCCAAGATCACGCAAACCAATTCCCCCCGCTGTAGACATGCCACCGATGTAAATTGTTGGTTCAATGATAACGATTGAAAACGATGGTGCTAACCGAGCTGCTGTGATGGCCGCAGCAATTCCTCCTGGTGTTGCTCCATAAATAGCAATATCATATGCAATGCTGACTGAACAAAGAGTCAGTAAACAACCGATTATGCTCAGATGTGAACTTAATTTAAACATTATCACCATAAAAATTCGCTCCGAGATTAGATAAATCGCACACATTTTTATTCAGGTACTCTCTTATCTTGCCTGTTCATGATTGGTCAAGAATGTCTCAAATAAATTATAGTATCTGCACACCGCCTAGATT